GCATTGTGATGTAGATTTAAGAAACATTAAAATGGTCTATTAATCTCGTGAATATATCTCGTACGAATATCTGCGATTTTTCCTGTATGTTCTTATAAAACGAAACCGAAGCATTTAAAGTGAACATCTATTAAATATTTTCATTAGACATATTCGTATTATTGTACTCGCATCAAAAGCTATAATGCATTCCAAAAGCTAGGCAGAATACTGCGAGAGAGGAGGATTTCTTTGGTAACAAAGGAAGGTACTGTGATACTACATGATATCTGTCCTCCTATACGGCAGCGAATGTTGGACGGTCTCCTCAAAGATGAAGACGAGACTCGAGGTGACGGCGATGTGGTTCTACAGAAGGATGCTAAGGATATCATGGCCCGAGCGTGTGAGCAACGATGAGCTCTTGGAGAATAAACAAGGCGGAAACTTATACTTAACATAAAGAAGAGGGAGCTGAAATTTCTGGGATACGTAATGAGAAAGGATCGCTTGGAGAATCTGATACTCACAGGTCGAATAGAGGAAAAGGGAGACAAGGGAAAGCAACGCAAGACATTCCTGGCGGACTTAAGAATACGGATGGCAGTAAAAATCTCTCTCACGCTCAAATAAGGACTACTATTTACCCGGATCAGGATGTCATCACGTCCACAATGGCGGTTTTAATAGTGTACTTGATTCTGGATCAAAAAGTTTGTCTCCCTCTCGAGGATGCGGAGACTCAAAATAGAAAACCCTACCATACTGATAAGAACTCTGACGACCCGAAGTGAATGGAAGTGGTTTGAATCCAATGAGCCTGGAAATCTGACAGTGATGGATTTTCATTGTTTAAACTTTAATGTCAGATCGTAAAACGGGTGAAGAGGTGCAGTAAGTTTGCAAGAAAAGAACAGTGAACACGCCTCGCCACTCCCAGAATCCTTAGCGAGACACCATATAGTGGCGTGTAGTTGGTCAACCTGTTGCCATATGTCCTCTTTAGCTCCCTGTTCCACTCGCTTCCTCCAAGCAACAATGCAACTACAACCAGGAAATAAAGTGTGCAAAAAGAAATCTTATGAAAATTGTCTGTCGTTCATTCAGTTGAGGATGCAGCGTTGTGGCCTGAAACAATTGCCGATGGACCACAATAAACCGAAACGTCTCACATACGTATTAGACTGGGGATTCAGAGGTATGAAGCCATATTTTGTAAGTAAAATAATTGTAAAGATTTTCGAGTAGCCATTTCTATATCAAGAGTTCTGTTGGGAAATGGACAGGCTCTTATACAAGGTGGAACCCCATGTCTAGTAACTTAATTTGGGTAATTTCATTGAACTGAAAGCTCTTTGGAAAGAAAAGCTTCTCGTTTACATGGTCTGATTTGGTGTGGGTATATTCATAGTATCTGCGCAAAGACACGTGTCATTCCTCTTTTTCATCTGGACACACCCAAGTTACTGGTTATCTCCCAGACAATGTGCTTTTTGGTTTGTGCTGTGACGTCACCCCGTGCTGTCTCCGCACCGTCGCCGTCCTATCCTGTGACGACCAATGTGACTTGGTATTGGTCGCGGCACCAAATGTGACATTCTAACCTTTTGCTGATTCGGATGGGAATCTGGTTAGATTCGGTATCAGTCTTGTCGTTTCCAGCTCGCCTCCAACGTCTGGTTACCGAAGTAACTGCTTTGATTTCTAGTCTAACCTACCCACGTTGTGATTTGATCTTAGGTAGACGAAATCAATCAGTCGCCGGGCCGCAAGTCGAGTTCGAACAAAGGTAATACCGTACAAGTATATGTAAAAGAAAATAAAGTAACAACTCGAAAAGTTCAAATGTCTTAAAAAAGAATAACAATATTTTATATCTGGTTGCTGAATACAGCACTGCGTCTTTCTCCCAACCCACTTATATGGATTCGTGACACTTTGTGTTTGTTAGGCGAGTCTTAACATCTTAAGTTGTTTTTTTTTTTTTAAGAAACTGGTTTTTGGTGTATCTTCAGGTGATATTCGTAAAACTTGTTTTGATGGTGTGAGTCTAAGACGTTCTTCAAAAATAAATTGTTCTTGGTTAGAAGTTGAGGTTGTGATGCGTGGATCTTTCAGTCAGCGAGGTGGGTCTCAGGGCTCACAGCTCAACTCTGTCTGCGTCTGCCAACTGCGTCTGTGTTATTCACTCTGCAACTGCTTGCCTGTCCCTTCAACCCCAACTGCCGTCCACTCGCTGCGACTCTGCTTATATGGACGCTGACCAAAACCGGGGTGGGCTTGTCGGGGTTTGAGGTTCCTTGTTAATTCTAAATCCACAATAAGGATCTTCTTTGTTCTTGGATAGGAAAATTCATAAATTTCAAATTTTTGGAATTCCTTACTTTATACTTAAAGGGAATCGTCCTCCTAAATTCTTCCTTTCTCATATTGGTATCTCACACCAATCCCCTCAGAGGGCGTCAACAGGTTCCCCTCTCTCTCTCACAGTGGCATCTCACATTAATCTCTTCAGGGGGCGTCAACAGGCCTCCCCTCCTTCTTCATAGTTTACCTTCGCCTACCGCTCACGCCACCCTTCAGCCAATGAACGCTCAGCAGCGTGGCTGTTTGCAATTATAGCTCAAAGAAAAAAAAAATATCTTTCACCCTTTTTTTTCTTTTCTTTCTTTCCTTCTTCCCGACAACAAACCCCTACGACTCTTATCTTAACCGAACGTCGTCTGGAATTCGTCAACGGGATTTTCGTCAAATAATCATTGAGATTGGTCAATGATTTTCCGCACTCTGTCGCCAATTATCTGTTCCGATAAAATAATTTTTCTATCATGACCAGCTCTGACATAAAACAGGTGTTTTTCCCAAATGATATCTCCGCAGATAGTTAATGGTTTAATCTTTCCTTCTTTGTAACTTATGGGTGGTCCAGCTGACATTTTTCTCGGTCAGTGCGTGACCTAATTAATATTATCTCTTAGCATTCTCTTTTGTAGGCCACTTGACCAATTTGAAATTTTCATCATTGCCATGGGCAGACGGCTATCTTATATTCGCTCCGTCGTAACATAAATCAAACCAAATCCAACAGTTCCGAGGTCTTACTTTCTTCGCTAATGAAAATAAAAATCTTTACCACTTTTCTTTGTTAGAAAAAATAACATCGCTCAGTGTCTTTTCGTGATAGCTTCTTATCACCTAAATTAATTCTCGCCTTTTTTTTCACGCAACCCTAAATAGTGTCACAGTGCAACGAGTATGTCGAAGAAGAAAGACAATTTTAAAATATGGATAATGCATTTAATGAAAAAAATTAATTCTTTTGGGAGATTTGAAGTGAAAACTACATGTTATTCTGCTTTCGCAGTTGAATGCATGGTAGAGAATAATCATTTTTTTTGCATAAACAAGTTTGTGTGGACATGATTACTGGAGGCAGTTATAAGTGTGTTTTACGCTCTTCTAAAAAAATGTCAAGGCTTTGGGATACATTTTGTTTTAATAAATTGTAGAATATTATATGGAATAATGTCCTGTACATCAATCACTATAGGTTATTTAATGCATAAATCTACATAATTTCCATAATTTAATGTAATTTATATATATATATATATATATATATATATATATATATATATATATATATATATATATATATATATATATGAATGTATTGTTTGTATTTTTACAATGAAAATGTATTTTTATTCTTTTATAGTTTTCTATTGTTTTGTTTCTGTGTGTGTGTGGGGGGGTTCATTATTTGCCTATAGCTGGGACCCTAACTGGTGCTACCACTCCCGGCAGGAGTGGGTACTGGAATAACAGCAATTAGAAGCCAGTTCCATGCTCTTCAAAACCTTCAATCTCCTGATCAGAGGCCTTGCTGTCGGATGTAGTTTATCATCATACCCAGGACTAACATGTATTGTAATATAACGTTAGATTCTTATATATTTATAATGAGTTAAATGCATGTTCTCAGATACTTCGCGCACACTGTTTAATAATGAAAACCGTGGGTTTTTCTTTACATTTCCCTCTTCTTCTTCTTCTTCTTTTCTACATACTGTGTCATCTCAGGAGCTTTGGGGTCGTGGCTCTTCACAATTTACTGTCCTTTATAGCTCTTAATTTTTCTTTTGGCTATCTCTCCCTATCCTTGTTCCGTAAACCAAGATCGTTAAGCAGGATATGTGTTGCTTTCCTCTGTCCCTCTTGCCTTCTATATGTTAGTGTCAAATTTTATAAGCCCTCTTTTCTCATTATGCACCTTAGAAATTTCAACTGCCTCTTTTCGATGTGAAGTATAAATGCTCTTTTTCCCGGCTTACGTTGACACTTCATCGTTGTACACATGTTCAACCTTTGGCATTTTCTGTATCTTTCCGTAGAAACATATTTCTGTGGTCTCAGCTCTCTTTATCTGTGAGCAGATTTTCCAGCATTCCTTGCCGTGTCGGAGGACCGATTTTACATAAACGACCAGTATTCTTTTCTTGGTTTCTAATGAAATTTCTTAACACTTTGCTTAGACTTTGGAAGGCAACTTTCGTTATTTCAATACATCTTCGGTTTTCGGTGTTGCATTTTTTTCCGATTTCTATTAAAATATATCTTAGGTATCTAAATATTTGTACTTGTTTGATTTTAATGTCTCTAATTCACATTTCAGGCTGTAAATTTCGACTGACATTATATATCCTGTGTTTTATAATTAGTCGTTAGTCCTTTCTTCTCCTTTTTTCTACTATCTTCTGTAGGTTTTCCCTTAATTTGCTTTCTATATCTGCCATGAATGCTGTTTTATCTCTATATCTAATGCTATTAAGACTGTGACTGCTAATAGTGAATAATGACTTCTAATTTTCTCAGGATCTCATAAGAATAAAGGTAGAATAACGCTTTTCTTAATGCTTGTTAAAATGCTTTTCTTAACGCTTGTTATAACGCTTTCCTCAACACTTGTCATAATAATTTCCCTAATGCTCTTTATAACGCTTTTCTTAACGCTTGTTATAATGCTTTCCCTAATGCTCTTTATAACGCTTTTCTTAACGCTTGTTATAATGCTTTTCTTAACGCTTGTTATAATGCTTTCCTTGACACTTGTCATAATAATTTCCCTAATGCTCATTTATAACGCTTGTTATAATTTTCTTAACGCTTGTTATAATGCTTTTTTCTTAACTAATGCTCTTTATAACGCTTGTTTTCTTAACGCTTGTTATAATGCTTTCCTTAACACTTGTCATAATAATTTCCCTAATGCTCTTTATAACGCTTTTCTTAACGCTTGTTATAATGCTTTTCTTAACGCTTGTTATAATGCTTTCCCTAATGCTCTTTATAACGCTTTTCTTAACGCTTGTTATAATGCTTTTCTTAACGCTTGTTATAATGCTTTCCCTAATGCTCTTTATAACGCTTTTCTTAACGCTTGTTATAATGCTTTTCTTAACGCTTGTTATAATGCTTTCCCTAATGCTCTTTATAACGCTTTTCTTAACGCTTGTTATAATGCTTTTCTTAACGCTTGTTATAATGCTTTCCTTAACACTTGTCATAATAATTTCCCTAATGCTCTTTATAACGCTTTTCTTAACGCTTGTTATAATGCTTTCCCTAATGCTTTTATAACGCTTTTCTTAACGCTTGTTATAATGCTTTTCTTAACGCTTGTTATAATGCTTTTCTTAACGCTTGTTATAATGCTTTTCTTAACGCTTGTTATAATGCTTTTCTTAACGCTTGTTATAATGCTTTTCTTAACGCTTGTTATAATGCTTTTCTTAACGCTTGTTATAATGCTTTCCTTAACGCTTGTTACAATGCTTTCCTTAACGCTTGTTACAATGCTTTCTTTAACGCATGTTATAATACTTTCCTTAACACTTGTCATAATAATTTCCCTAACGCTTGTCGTAAAGCTTTATTCAACGCTTGTTACAATGCTTTCCTTAACGCTTGTTGTAAAGCTTTCCTTAACGCTTGTTATAACGCTTTATTTAACGCTTGTTATAATGCTTTTCTTAATGCTTGTTATAACATAACAATATATAGCAGTTCATTAAGATTTGGTATTATTGATATTTATAATTAAAGTATGAAAATACATACTTCTTCTCCGGACTGAGGCGATGGTATTTCTCCACAATTTCCTCTTCTTTCTAGCTCTTAATAAATCCTGTCTTTTTGTTATATACCCTAAACCCTGTTCTGCCCTCCAATTACTCATGCTCACTAAGTATGTTATGCGTTGTTTTCCTTTGTCCCTCTTGCCTTCAATTTGTTTTGAGAGTATCAAATTTTCTAAGCCGTCTTTCCTCATTGTGTGCCTTAAAAATTTCAAATATCTCTTTCAGATGTTAACTATATGTTTCGTCTTTATTTTACTTTTCTCTAAAATTTCATCGTAATCGGTTCATGATATCCTCAGCATCCTTCTGTAGAACCTCATTTCTGTTGCTTCAATGATTTCTTCATCTTTGAAGAGATTGTCCAGCACTCACTCTCATACAGGAGGACATACCACATAAAAGTTTAAAACTCTTTTCCTTGTTTATTGCAATTTTTCTATTTCTTAATACACAGCTTAACTTTTGGAATTTTTTCTGACTTCAGTGTCGCATATGCCGTCCTCTTTTAAAACCCTTCCTAGATATTTAAGTTTTTGTACTTGTTTGATTTTGGTAACTCAGATGTGTAATATGGAATTTTGGCTCATCCTTTTGCTAACAACCATGTATTCTCTCTTCTTGCACCTGATAAATGTGCTAAAGGACATTGGTTAGGTCCCTAATAGTGTGGAGGCCCTGTTGTTTATTAAAATTTGTCAATTGGACGTGGTGGGAAGCCAAGGTGGGAGATATTGAACCATTCCCTCTCAATAACAGGCCATAGCAAAGAAGCCTTAATATTTTTAACGGAACAGAAAAAGGAAGAAGCATTGTATTAACATATGAATCTTATAAAAAAAACTCTCCGAAAGATAGTCAGCTGGAATGATAAGATCCATAGAAATTATGATATTTTCCATATTTCACGGGAGTGTAGCGTATGAGATTGAACATAGACGAAGAAAAGAAGTCTGAGAAAAACCCTCAACTCAAAAATTAATGATAAAAGAATCCGCGTGTAGAACTACAGATTAATCACGTAGAAGATTTTAATGAGTCTAAAGCAGAAATATATATATTGGAATCCGTGGATATCTCCTTTAAGAAAAGAATGCAGGCGACGAACCGATGTGAAAAATCCTCTGCTGTACATGGATCAGAGGATACTGGAAAAAAATAGAAGACGTTGCAATAGAATGGATCGAATTCAGAAAGCAGTCGGATATAGAGTATCTTAACCGGATACTCGAACATCTCAGAAAATTCACAAATGATCCGAAGGTATTTACTTCACAAGAAGACAAAGTTTGAACCATGGTCGTTATTAATAGTCGAAAGTTTATTAATATATATATATATATATATATATATATATATATATATATATATATATATATATATATATATGTTTGGTGGTACAAAATTTTATCACTGCCATAAATAGACAAAATTAGTTTTATTATTACCACTCATGATAATAAAAAGTAAAAATAAATACGGGCTAGCTAACCGGTTTCGTACCTCGCTCAAAAGAGCTAAATCGAGGTAAATAGTGTAAATTATATAAAAAAAAAAAAGAACAATGGACGAAGTTTATTGGTAAAAATAATTAAATGGTATTTAGTTGGAGGCCTAATATAAAGTCCTTCTATTTACAAAGAGAAGTCTTTAAAGATAGAATAGGCCTCCAACACTTTTGGGTGGTAATTTGAGTGGGACTTGATAAGGATGGTAAAAGCGTCCGCACTAAAACTAACAGCACAATTATGGCTATTTATAAGGTGTTCTGCGATGGAAGACCCATACGTATTGGTCAGAATGTCCGAGGGAGTGTACTTCCGGTTTCGGATTTTCGCTGGAACGTGTTGTTTTATTCTAGCATCTAACCTTTGCGTCGTTATTCTTATGTAGTGCGAACAGCAACTACATTTAAATATAACTATAATACATACATACATACATACATACATACATACATATATATATATATATATATATATATATATATATATATATATATATATATATATATATATATATATATATATATATATGTGTGTGTGCATATGTGTAATAGCATTTGTAATTTGGTGTATATATGGATATGTTTTTGTGCATATATATGTAGATGTGAGTGATCATGTGTTTGTCTTTGTGTGTATAGGAATAAAGTGTCGCTGTCGACACTGGAGTGTGAACACAGATAACCAGTGATAAATAGATGACGTCATCGCAAAGGAAATGTATACATGGGAATTAGCGTGGTGTCTAATTGATCACACTTTCTATTCTATCCTGTATTACTATATGGTTCACTATTTCTACCCTATCCCCTATTACTATACGGAACATTATTCCCTGTACTATTCATTATACTATTTCTATATACGGATTACTATTCGATGGTTACTTTTCGAACGAGCATTATCGAGCAAGTGGCATTAGTGCGAGTGATATTCGAAGGCGTCTGACACCAGTATTGTTTAACGGCGTTACTATAGTTGTATCTGCGATTACAAAGTCTCTACTACAGCGAACATTACGAAAGTGGCAACGAGTTTTCCTTGATATTACAAAAGTATTAATTGTTTAATGGATTGTCCCACTTATTTATGATGTGTTTTCGACTCTTTATTCTGACCAAATCGTGCATTTGATTTGCAAATGAAAGCATGAATTCATCATATGGTTTATAATCTTTGCGTGTAAGTCTTCAAAGAAAAGCCTTTATCTTGCATAAAGCCGTTTTCGTTCTTTTTTTTTAGGTTTACATTAAGTCCGTAGCTTGAAACATATTTCTTAGCAGAATATTTATCTGAACTTTTCACTGTATAATATCTGAACAATCTGATTAATATTCATCTCTAAATTAACTTCATTGACAAAGGAAGATATTATGTTGAAAACAACTGCCTGAAAAATGATTTTGTCTTTTCTTCATTAGGCGAAAGAACAGTTGATTTGCATGTGTCTGGAATATGGAAAATGACATCTTTTATTGGTTCACCCGATTTTTCTTCCGGACCTTGCTCTAGGTTAGAAAATATTGGCCGAGGATGAAAGAGACTCTTTTTGGAACCTATAATTTGTTTTCTTGAGGCCTTCCACTTATAAAGCTCTTCTTCCTAACGACAAACAGAGAAAAGAAACAAATGACCAGTGTATGGCACAGAATCTACTGAAAGAATCAGTGTACTACAACTCAAATCAGAATATATTTTCAGAACTTCTCCCACGTTCTACTCCCAAGGTATATTTTTGCTTAATATTTATTTCGTCGATATCTATAACAGTAAAGGTGACAGCAAAATACTCTGGGTGATTAGTAAATTTTGAGTTTATGTCGTCTTTATCCTCAAGTCCATTCTACTAAATTTGCATTATAGTCCAGAACTGACAATGTTTAATAAGTATTAATCCTCAAAGATAAAATCATGTTATCTAAAAGAAGACATCATTGGAAATTATAAAAGCTTAGCAAAACAGAATGAAAATAATAAATCACTTGCATTAACTTATATTGCCCTTGACAATGACGTCAAAATACAATTAAAAAAATTATAATTTATTATTATATAAACAATCAATGTCATCTGCATTGGATTTAATAAATATTTTTTTCATTTTCACACACATGCATATACAAACAGATGCCCAGACAGATAGATAGCTCGATAGATAGCTCGATAGATAGATAGATAGATAGATAGATAGATAGGCATGAACAGACTAAGATAGATAGATAGTCATGAACCGATTAAGATAGATAGATAAATAGAAAGATGGATAGATAGTAATGAAAAGACTGAGATAGATAGATATATAGATAGATGGATAGATAGTCATGAACAGATTAAGATAGACAGATAGATATACAGATAGATAGATAGATAGATAGATAGATAGATAGATAGATAGATAGATAGATAGATAGGCATAAACAGACTAAGATGGATAGATAGATAGTCATGAATCGACTAAGATAAATAGATAGTCATGAACCGACTAAGATAGATAGATAGATAGAAAGATGGATTCTATATTTAATTGGATTTACAAAGGTGGATTATTGATTACGTCGCATAATACGTATTTATTTACTCGATAAATTTTAATCTGAAATTAGGAGCACCTAATTTTCATATATTCGATTAATTTTAACTACAAAATTAAGTGCATTGACAAGGAAATAGATTATGTCGAAAACGTTACACACACACCCACATTCAGATTTTGGCAGTAGGAAAAAAAAACCAAAATTTTAAAACCATTCCAACGATGTGAAAAAAATATGATTTTATTTTTAGGGTCGAGATAAGCTCTATATTGCAATAAAACATTTTTCCAACGTCAATGTTCTGTCGTCCATTTCGGTTAAAAGGTTTGGCTTTATCCTCTGATGAAAATACGTTTTATGGATAAGTACAAGTATCATTATTGTTCCGATATTCTATAAAATGTCCTTGTTTATAGGCCTTGCCATAATATACTCAGAGATGAGGGTCACATTTCTGAAATTAGGAGCACCTAATTTTCATATATTCGATTAATTTTAATACAAAATTAAGTGCATTGCAAGGAAATAGATTTTCGAAAATCCATTAATTTTTCAGTAGGAAAAAAAACCAAAGGAAACAAATATGATTTTATTTTAGGGTTAACTGCATTCCAACGATGTGTATAGGTGGGGGTGATGAAAATATATATGGATATTTATTGGCATTTAGTAAAGTTGATCGAGATGAAAACATTTCAGCTCTATATTGCAATAAAACATTTTAATCCATTAATTCCAATTGACCCCCCAGTCAATGTTCTGTCGTCCATTTGCACAAGCAAGTTAAAAGGTTTGTCGCTTTTATCCTCTGCCATTCTTACCTTCAATACGTTTTGTGTCAAGTACCTTTCCTGATTCTAAGTACAAGTATCATTAT